TCCTCCAAAATCTTTTCACATTGTCATCCTTTTGTCCCTGTCATATAAGGGTGCAGACCGTTCTTAATTCTCCCCGTTTCTTCAACTCTCCTTTTATTGCACTTCTTCTTTCCATGCCTTTAACATCAGTGGAAAGAAATAAGAGCAAGGATAGGCCATGCATCATCAGTCAATAAGATCATGGATGAACTTCGACCTTAGCTCCACTTTATAACTCTATCTCTCGATGACCCTAAAGTTTAAACACCAAAAATCTGTCTCAGTATTAAATATGCTCAATGATAGCGCACCTGCAGCCTGCTGGGGTAGAGGAATCCAAAAGATTCAAAATTCTCCAACTAAAGAATATTTTTCTTCTTAAGTCCTAGCTGACATACATCGTTTCCCGAGACTGTGACCACTAATTCTAGACCCCTGAGCCAGGGGAAGCATCCTCTAGCATAGACCGTCATGTCTTTAAGAATTTTATATCATTAAGTGAGTACACCTCTCATTCTTCTAAACTCAAGAGAATACAGTCTCACGTATTCAATCACTTTGCATGGGTCAAGGCCAACAGTCATTGCACTCCCTGCAGACAAGTTTATCCTTTCTTTAGTAAAGGGCTAAAACTACACACAACACTCCAGGTCTGATCTCGCAAAGGCCATAAATCATTACAGCAAGACTTCTTGTACTCCAAATTCTTTGTAGCAAAAGACTAACATACCATTTGCTTGCAAAGATGCAGGTACAACTTTGTGGTTTGTGTACGAGGATACCCAGGCCCTCTGAATACCAACACTTCCCAATCTCTTGCTTCTTAATAATTATTCTGCTTTTCTATTACCTACCAAAGTGGACAACTTCACATTTCTCCACATTACATTCCAATTGACAAGTCCATGCTTACTTATTTAAACCATCCATATACCTGTATAGACTTTGTGTCCTTTTCAGAGCTTATATTCCAACTACCTTTATAATCATCAGCACATTTAGATGAATTACATTTTGTCCTCTTGCCCAAGTCATCAAAACAAATTTTAAATAAATGTAACTCAGACACCAATTCTTGCAGTATCTCATGAGTTACAGTCAAACTGAAAATGACTTCTGTTTACGATACCTGTAGAGACCAATAATTTATTTAAAAAACACGAATTTCCCAGTGACCTATGCAAAGAATCACATAGCAAGATTCACATTTTAGGACTTTTACTGTAATAAACAAAACTAAAATCAACGTTAACTAAAATTTACTTAATCCACTAACCTACACGAAAAGTATTCTTTATCAACTTGTTAAAACAATTGAAAACCCCATTCTATTCCTAATTGTTCCCCATCATACTCAAAGCAGAAATCTAATCTCATGTTTACAAACTGCAATCTCCTGCCAGATTTTCTAGCAGGATGTCTTCTCCCTGCCCATCAGCAATCATTACAGTATGTGTACGCCCTGTAGACTCTCAGCATCTCTTTCTTGTACTCATGCACTTGACTGGTTATACTCCCTCCTGGATCAGCTGCATTTGTCACCATTTCAAAAAGCAGTCAGTCAGCGATATAATCTGTTTAGCCAGCCCTCTTTGTAAACGTCAGCCCTTGAGGAATACCAGTTGTGCTGCTTGTCAGGAAATCAATTCTTTTTAATTATAAATGTTTAATTAGCTCTATTCAGGTGGGAGAGCAACAATATAGCAGTATCATCAGAAATATTAATTAAATAATGCATTACTCATATCAACTGTGTTAATAACAGCTGTACGCATTCAGCGTACATTTTCCAAGGACAGTTAAAGCTGCTAAGAATAAAAATTTAGTCAGTTATTTTAAAACTTGTAATTTTTTTTTCCCCCTCAGACCATGATAAAGATGAAATTCCGATATTAAAACACCTTGGAGTAGCAAAAGGACAAAACAAAATCAGCAGGATTCTGTTTTTAATTGCCATGCAGTATTTAGTTAGAAATCACACCTGGATGTCTGTGAGGAGAGGATTGGACCTGACTTTGATGTTTTGTCTGGTTGAAGAGCCTGCCACCACTCAATCCACACACTGTCTACAACAAAGGCCATGTCAATAAATTATCAGGCTTCTATATCATGTAGCCGCACTCCCACAGCTGTCTGCACCCCTCAACAGCAAAGACAGAGAAGGAAAACTATACATCACATTTGGTTTGTTTTAAAACAAAACCAGGAACGTAGGGAATATCTTTAAATGCAAGGCAAAAAAATGTGCTTGTGCTGAAAGTGAAACGGTTCACTAGACCTCAAGCTGTTGAAATAGGAATTAAAATTGGCCCTAATCTTCAAGTATGGGGAGACCCATGTCTCAGCTTGCATTACTGATGTGCATCAGGATCCTGAGAAATTCCCAACATGTTACATCTGCAGTGCCTAGGCAGGAAGTTCACGCTTCCAATTGCCTGTTTCACCATGTTCTAGCTGTTCTGTTGTTCCATCAACAGTGGTATCAGATTGTCAGAACTACACAAACTTGGAAATTGACAGCTGCATTTAAAAGAAGTCAATAAACTGAAAACAGATCTTAAACAGTTCAGTCTTCAGTTCATGACAAGAAAAAGGGTATGGCTGTACTGAAATTATGCTGAACAACTGGCCTCCTTAACTCTGATTTTTTTCCTTCACAGATGCTGCCAGACTTGCTGAGCTTTTCCAGCAACTTCTGTTCTTATGGCCTCCTTAGGGTGTCCATCTCTGTAGCTTTCTAGAGCCGGCATCCGAAGACACAAAGGCTCCAACATAAAATGGTAAGCAGGCAGATTAAATCATAGTCGGTATCAAAAGCTTCCTGTCAGATCCAAATATTGTAGTCAATGTGTGTTTGCTTTCATTATGACTGCATTACTCAAGAGCATTTTTAGAAAAGTCAAAATCTCAAGCAATACCTTGTGTGATGATACTATGGCATTTAAGAAGTGTACTCGTCCTGTTTTTTTTTATGAAAAGAAGATTGAGACAGAGATACCGAGTGTTCTGTTCCAAATGAGTAAAACAGCTTGTGATGCTTTGGGTTTTTCCTTTAAAAAAAAATTGAAACTATAGAAGCAGCATGATTGGGTGGAGTCAGGCTTCCACAGAACTAGGGTCTTAGTTTAGCCTTCGATTGTTGTTGGGTTTTTGAAGCTGCCATACATCTCTCTCAGCTACAGCTAAAAGCTCGAGTTCTCTCTCTTTGCCAGAATATTCTCAATGTTCTTTTTCTCCTGAACTAGGGAAACATTGCATGTGAGACAATATATTTTCCTGAATTTGCCTTCGCCAAGGGTGGGTTTATGGATGATACTATATTGGAAAAGTTGATGTTTAATAGTTAAATAATCTATTATTCTGTTAAGTATTCCAATAGTGTTAGGCTATTCCAATTCTTCTTTCTTTTATCTGTATTTTAACTAGAGGTAAGAATAAAGCGTGTTTTGCTTAAAGCTGAGTAGTTTGACCAATTGAATTGCATCTGGAACAAAGCACCTCACACTTGCCTTTAAATAAGAAAAAGTTAGGGTCTAGGCTATCTCCCTGAAATATTTGAAGGGGGTTTGGTCTGGTCCATTACACTTGCTGGAAAGAGACCCTTGGATATGCTGTTACAGAGTAAAATACTGAATGAAGGAGACACCTGCAACTGCATTTCCCTGTATTATAAGCATTAGTTTTCAATTTTAGTTGTACAGGCTCTTGCCAAATTCCATGGCCTAATAATTCCATGTAATGGTGCTGAGGAGGCCATTTGGCTCCTTGTGCCTGTGCCAGTTATATTACCAAGTGCCAAGCTCCTGCCTTTTCCCCATATCCCTGCATACTATTTCTATCCAAATAATCATCCAATACCCTCTCAAATGCCTCATATCAACCTGCCTCCACTACACTTCCAGGTGATGCATTCCAGATCCTAACTACTTACAGTGTGGAAAAATTTTTTCTTACATCATTCTTGCTACTTTTGCACATTACTTTAAATCTATGGTCTCTTTGTTTTTTTCTTTTCCAAGTGGTAACAGCTTCTCCCTATCTATTATCTCCTGATCCAGATCACTCACGATTTCAAAAACCTCAAATAAAATCTCCTGTCAGCCTTGTCTCCAAGGAGAACAGTCCCAACTTATTGAATCTATCCTTTGATTCACTGTGACAATAGATAAAATTATAAGACTAATAGTTATACTGCTAAAAATAAACTCCTTTCATGTTCTGTCAAGAAGCTAGGATAATACTTCTTCCTAACAGTATTCATAGATGCTGACTTGATTGCAACAATGGAAGAACAGAATAAATAGACAATGTGCATATTCTTTCAGATTTTTCTATTTCTCTTCCCTCCCTGACCACTTCCATGAGGGTACAATCCTAAAACATTTCTCAATCAATGAAGTACTGTTGAAGCATAGTCCATGCAGGAGCCAATTTTCTGGCAGCACAGTTCTACAAACAGCAATGTCAGAACAACTAGGTAATCTGTTTCTGTGATGTTGATTGAGAGGCGATTATTTGTCAGGTCAGCAGGGATAATGCCCCAAAACTCTTTTGAAGCAAGTCACAGGATCTTTTAAATAATCCACCTAAAAAGCACACACAGGGCTTTGCTTCATTAGCTCATTGGATAATTGGTGCCTCTGCCAGCACAGCACTTCCGCAATAACTAGGCGAGTGTCAGCCTGGACTATGTGCTATAGTCTTACGAGTGTGGCTTGCAGGCTTGCCTCCTAGGCATAAATACATTCTCATTTGATCAGGATAATAACCTGTGCTTATTCAGATAATAGAAAGTAACTTGGAAAATGACAGATTACAATTACAGACTTTGCAAAATATCATCTATTTCTTTGTTTTTATCCCCTCTTGGACCCCAGTGGTACATTACATTTTGATACAAGATCATGCTACTAAAGTCTAGAAAAATGGCTAGAAAAACAAAGTTACTTTAATGCAGATGTATACATATGCTTACTATTTCACATTTGTGATGGGGACAAGTTTTTTTTTAATATACTCACCAAGCCAAGGATCTGAAGAAAGGTAAAATGATAGAAGAATAGAAGTCCTGTAGCAAGAAGAGCCCACCAAAAATCACCCAGTGGTTCTGGTTTGTACACACCTTTTGAAAAAACAAGTTATTAAAATTAAAATCAGTCATTTCCTCAAAATATCTCATCAGGCTGTTTATTATGCATGGTTTCTCACTATAATAGAGATCCCGACCATTAGGTTGGGAAACTTATCCAAAGGGGTTCCCAGTGTTGGCATTAGGCCTACTTAGCATATCTGCATCAGTACTACCCAACAATGACAATAGCAAAAATTAAAACTTGGGCTAGGTTGTAATCACTGCCAGAAGTGTAACAGGAGGTTACTTTCTGCCTACCCAATATTTTACTTGCAGTTTGTAAAATCAGCACCTTTTCACTTTCACTGCAAGTCTACTGTTACAGTGCAAGAAATAATGAACTGTTGCTAAATATCAATAGCTTTATTTGTATACTTGGGACGTGCAGGGCTATATTTATTGCCCATCCTTGACAAGGTGGTGATGGACTTCCTCCTTGAACTGCTGCACGAGATCATTAGAGGAACATTACCATGTGTTAGATAGTTAATTCCAGGATTTTGACCAAGGAAGAACAGTGACAACTTCCAAGATATTATTCTGCAGGATTCAGTGATACTAGCGAAGGTCAAAGGGAGGCTTTACCTTGTCGGAGATGCTCATTGCCCAGCACTGGTGTCACCAATGTTTACGTAACTGATCCAACAGAGACTGGTAAAAATTGAACTGTACATTATCAGAAGTGCAAATGGCAACACTCCTCTCTTACAATGGGGAAAACGAATGACACCATGGATGAAAATGGTTAATTGTAGCACTTCGCTGTAGCAGTGATATTCTGTGGCTCGTAGGATTCACTGTCAAAAACCCGACTATCTTTTTGTATCTCAGAAATGACTATCACCGCTGAAGGGTTTCTGCCTTGATTTAAGTGACTAAATGTTGATGCTGCTTGATGGTATACTCAGTCATATGCCACCTTGGTGCCAAGGGTGATTTAATTCATTCACAGATGAAGGTGTTACTGGCTAGGCTATTGCCCATCCCTAATTGCCCAGAGGGCAGTTAAGAGTCAACCACATTGCTGTGGACCTAGAGTCATACGTAAGCCAGACCAGGTAAGGATGGCAGTTTCCTTCCCTGAAGGACATTAGTGAACCAGATGGGTTTTTTTTCCCTGACAACCGACAACAGATTCATGGTCATCATTAGATTCTTAATTCCAAATATTTATTGAATTCAAATTCCACCATCTGCCGTGGCAGGATTCAAACCCCGGTCCTCAGGACATTACCTGGATCTCTGGATTTACAGTCCAGCGATAATACCGCTAGGCCATCACTTCACCCAATTTATTTTACCTGCTCTGACATTTAAAACTAGCTTCATTCAGATACAGCAGCAAATGAGATCCAGACACAGTGGTTCAGGTGAAAGTGAAGGAAGACGTCGGTTGAATTCAAAGCGAAGGAATTATAGCTGTTATTTGGACTTGAGGAACAAGAAAAAATTGTGCCTTTGAACATTTGAAGGAAGCAAAATCTTTATTGCTCCAATGATTGTCAGGGAGGGGGTCAGATGTTTCTTCAAAATGATTGGAGAATTTGAATGAGTACATGAGATATGCAAGAAATTGCAACAGAATTATGAGAAAAGAAAGAGTGGAGTTGAAATGCGAGTGGACAAAGTCACTGATATGAAGGACAGCATGACAGAAAAAGCCAGATGCCTTGGCTTTGGGAACTAACGACTTAACAGAAAGAATCAAAAGGAGGAACTAACACCTACTACAGACAGAGCTTTTCCAGGGGGAAACCATTACTGCATCTTTGGGAAGCAACTTGTGCTGTGCATTTTGCTAGACAGTGACAAAAACATAAGGGCTGCCCAAAGCACAGTAGATGATTCACCAAAGTTTTCAAAAGCAATATGATTGCACAGATATGCATCATGCTATTGGACTGGTCATTGTTCCTTTTCGAGTACAACATTTTGTGGTTTTTCTATTTTTGTCATACAATTTACAGCAGGGACAGATGTTACAATACTTGCAGATCTTTCCATTTTAAACCAGCCTTAGAATCCATTTGCTCTTCCTTAATTGAAAGTGAGTCTCATGACTTTGTTTTCTGAAGAAGGGTCTAGGCCCGAAACGTCAGTCTTGCTGCTCGGTCTGCTGTGTTCATCCAGCTCTACACCTTGTTATCTCAGATTCTCCAGCATCTGCAGTTCCTACTATCTCATGACTTTGTTAATCTGTTAATAGCATGAGTGATAGGATTTTTATGAGAATGATGTTGGCTTGCAGAAATCATGCCTGATGTATATTTTAAGATGTAAGCTGATGGCCATCAGTTTGAAGCTTTACCAACACCGGGGTATCACACACTTTCAATGGCAGGCACATACTGGCACTGTGACCTAAAGGAATGCACAGATCAAGTCTGTGAAAAGTAAACTTTAGTGGGCCTAGACAATGGACATCTTCACCACCTGTCATTTGACTTCTAGTTTTATTTTAAATTACTTTTAAAAAGACTTCTTTAGCAGCCATCTTTCTCTCTTTTCTACTGGAAGAGTCAGCTGAAATGGAAGAATTTGCCACCGTGCTACATTGTTCTGTTGAGCTATCCCAGTTTACATCAACTTGTATGAGCTTCTTTAGAAATAGAGGTAACGCCTCAGTGGAATGAGTCATTGCATCTTGACTGAATGAATTTAACAGGTGTAATGCCACCCTGTTCAAATATAAAGCAGAAGATATTTTAAATAGAGGTATTAGTGTCAAATATTCTGAAGCTAATGCAGCACTTTGCTAGAGTTCCACCATATTCCCTTTTCACCCTACCCACAGAGACTATAACTTACCTCTCTTGGGAGAATCCCGAGTTAAGTGGCATTAGGGAGGATCATGATATCTTTAATTAAAGAGAGAAAATTGGGAATGTACAACTAAAATCTTAAAGCTAACATTTGGAGCCTTATTATATACTTAGAACCAAAACTCAGTGTCTCAATCCAAAATCCTACTTCTCCCAGACTTTGACGGCTAACTCACCCCCATCTGAAGGCTCCTCTGACTTCCTGCACTAACAGTTAAAATCACTGGATATGGGTATTATTAGCGAAGGTGGCATTGTTACACATGGTGGTGGGTATTACTGAAAAGAAATTATTGAGAGATAACTATTTACCAGAACGTTAGAGATGAAGAAAAGTAGCCAATTGGGAAATAAGTGCCAATAAAATGAGGCAGGAAGGAAGAAAATGAAGAGAAGGGAGACAAGAGATGGAAGGTAATTAAGCCACCATAGAAAAGGGAGAAACGAATGATAGTGAAAACAGACAGGTAGCTGGCCATAAGCTTAGAGAGATATGTCAGAGTGAAGGAAGAGAGTGAATTGATAGACAGGAAGAAGAATCCCAGCTAAACTCTCAAAGAAGAGAAGTGGCAGGTTGGATTCGAGATGAGTGGGGCAGGGGTGAGAAGAGAACTAACTGGAAAAGAAAACCCCTGTGTTAAAGGGTGGATTAATTGGAAGGGTCATACATGTTCCTGTGAACTGGATAAAGAGGGTATGCAGTACCTTGTAAATGAACAGGTGCAATATTGGATTCAGGAGGGTGATGACAGGTAACTTTTGGTAAACATCTGATAGTTCTGTTGAAAATTCAAATGCTATTTTCCTTTACACTCCACTAATATTGAAATAATGTCCATGATGAAAGTACGTAAAAACTAGAAATTATCACTGTATTAAAAAAATGTTTCCCACATTTTGTCTCCTGAGATATTATCCATTTGACATCTTCAACATTTGAATGTTTTGTACTTGCCCTACTTCAGGTGAACAACATTACGTGTACCTGTTGAATAAGTTCCAAAGTCCATTAATTAGTCACTTTCATATTCAGGGCTATGCATGTGTTGGCAGCCCTTCTGGGGCTGTGCCAGTGATTTTGAACACATCGGTCAGTTTTACTATTCTTCAGGGTCAGCTCACATAACAAGAACAATGCACTTCAAAACAACACAAGTACAAACCCTATCATAGCATCTTCTAGTCTCATTAAGGTTTTGCGTGCTGTTTTTGCAAACAATTTTTTTGAGGTAGCTTTATTTAATTTATTTAGACTACATTTCCAGCCTGTCTCTAGATTTGTTCAGTCAAGGTGAGTTGGAGGTTATGACTTTTCATAAACCCAGCAATGATGTGTCACGTAATGCAGAGGGTATTATGAAGGCCTAGGTGATTTACAGGGACCAGGTAACGCAAATGTTGTTCCTTCCAAAAAGACAGACATGGAAAATCTTGCAGGAGTATTTATGATACACATTGGCATGCTGTGTGTGATGCTTGATATGTTATTAACAGATCAGCAGTGATTTTTAAAGCCAAGACCATGTGTTGTCTAACAGTGAGATGAGAATGGACAGATAATTGGATCAGCTACACAAATCTAATTCAGTATCTATTTCGAAATCACAATTTTGTACTTAATTTAAAAGACTTGGAATTCGAGTAGTGGAGAAGTAAAGTTGGTTAGGTATCTGAGCTATTCTGCAATATAACCTGAGAAGGGGGATACAAAACTGATGTGCTATTGTACCACCTCTGGTGAGATAGTGTAATTACAAGATGACAAGTTTTCAAAGGCCATTTCCAACCGAAATGGAGACATAGCAATTTGTAATGGAAATAAAGCTTATACTAACAAATGGAAAGAGGAAGAAAGGTTTCATAGAAAATGTGTGTTATCATGAGATTTTAAATACAGTTAATATTGAATAGGCTATTGTTCTTCACATTACAAAGGGAAATGCTGAATGGAGGTCTTTAAGTTGCTATACTGTATTGATATGGTGGATATATAGGACATAAAAATGAAAACAATCACCGATAGGGGATGCAAGAGAAACCTCTTCACCCGGAAAACAATTAGAATGAGGAACTCAGTACTAGGATCATGGTTGTATTTTCTCCCGTTCTCGTTTCCGAGGGTAGAGCCACAGACTTCTGTTGGATTGCTCTGTGCTTACAGGTAAACTA